TTTGGGGGGAGATGCCCCTGCCTATGGCAGGGGGGTTGAAACTAGATGATCTTTCAGGTCCCTTCCAGCCCTGACAATTCTATGACTCTATGTGGCTTCATGCACAAGCCTCATGCTATAGTGAATACTAACTGCTGTTGAGATGCTGTTTGCTGCTGGTTTGTATGCAAAGAATTCCAGAGCACTTTCCCCTTACCCAAGCCTATGGTTTTTAAATCAAGGAAGTGCCACAGCCCAGGGACTCTATTCAACTAAAGAGCTGCCATGGTTGCACCCCAGCCAGCAGGTAAGCACCACACAGCTGCTCACATACTCCCTGTCTGTGCCAAAACCAGTACAACAGCGACTCTAAAGAATTTATGGTTGGCATTTCTCTACACAGACAAGCTTACTGTGTGCAGAGCTGTATAAAGGGAGTGTTTTTTTCTTGTCCAAGCTGAGGTATCCTACCGTTCATGTTCTAAATGAAAAAAAAAATTGTGTGTTCCTTTTTCTTCTTGTAAAGGGGAGATCTGTTGACTTCACAATCACTTTGTCATCACTAAGTAATATTTTTTGTTCTTTGTACGGAACGCTACAAAAACCAAAAAGGAAACATTTATTTGCAAGTAATATACCTATAAATAAATATTCATTTATTACTATTATATGTCAAAGTCCTCTATTAGTAATGCTAAACCTGTACTGGAGGCTGGGAGAGGAAGCTTAGCTACCATGATAAAAGATCTGCCTTACAACAGGATATTAAAAGTTCAACCTAAAGGTGAGCAAGGAATTTCCTGTTTACCTGAAGGTGTGTCTACTGCTTTGGACAAAAACTATTACGTGGTTTAGATGTCAAGTTATACTGATGTTTAGTATGGATTTCTGACACCCTTCTTCAGTCTGAACAAAACCTTAGCTCCCTGAGTGCTCCCAGTAAATAGAACAGATGAGTTATCTGGCTAATGATAGCGGGGAGCAGCAGCCACAGTCCATCAGCAGCTCCAACAAGCAGGGCTGGAGCACTGCATTCCACTGACATTTCAGCAAGATATAATCTCCCCATCCCTTCAAGAAGATGATGCTAACAACAGCTTAAAACTTTAAATGAGCAGATTAGTGCTGCGGCCAAAATTTAGTCTTGACATGCAAAAAAAAGCACGAAAAATCCTACAAAGTAAACCAGAATCTTGTGTCTAAGTGAGGAGCCACCAGATTTAGCATTGTTTGTCCTTCTAAGCAGGGTAGGCAGGGGATGGCATAAGACAGTATTTCACTGTTTGGTGGTGTTTAGGCAGGCCCAAAATCTGAGTTCTCACCAGAGGTTTGGGCTCCAGCAGCATTCCCCTCCTGGGGGCTGAAGGACACGTGTTGGGGGGGGGGTCTGTATTTTAGTGAGTTGGGGGCTGCTTTCAGATTCTGGAGGTTATCTCAGCATTGTTGGTTGCTCAGTGGAGCACAGTTGTTCCAGTCACAAGTGCTGCCCAGTTGTCCCCAGAGGCCTCAGCAAGCCCTGGAGCAGGGGAAGGCAGCACAGGCTTTGCCATGCCCTCCCCAGTGTGTTTGCACAGCAATACACAGGCAGTGTTGATGCTGCTGGAGCATGGAGAGGACAGCAAGCCCTACCACCACAGGATCTACCCTGGCCCAGGGCCTGTGTCGTGCTAAGGAAGGCGAAAGGGGAACCAGTCTCACCAGTCAGGGTTGGTCATCGTGTGAAGTCGATGCAGTTGGCCTAATGCTGCCATTTCACAGGCTTTCTATGCTAAAAATAGGACTGAAACTTTCTGCTCCCAACCCTGTAGTTCTGTCTGGGTCCAGATGTGCCCTTGCAACATCACGTCTTCCCGTGAGAACGCCAGGGAAAAAACCACATGGGGCAGAGGCACTGTGGAACCCCAATGGGCCAGCGTGTCGTGGTGCCCTGTGACCCCACTACACGTTTGGAGGGGCTGCAGGTGCCTCTCTCACCATCCAGGGGCTGTAACCAGCAAGGCACAGTCTCTGGCAGGCATACAAGACCAAAATCTTTCCTGGCAGGGAAAGGAGGCAGGAGCCCACCAAATCCAAGCTGTCCTGTGCATCTGCAATCTGTACCAAGAGCACAGGAAAACCTCAGGAGGAGGCTTTCACTTTCTTAGAAGTGAGGTCACCCAGTGCTCCTGCTGATAAAAACATCTGAATCATCCAGGTATGTCCTGAAAACGACCCGACTACTTTGTCAGAGCTTTAGTAAGGATGAGGAGTGCAAGAGATCCAGAATTTTAAATTTGCACAGGAAAACTGACACCAGCACAAAAGCTTTTAAATAAGTCAGCCAAAATAGGATGGGGGGCAGAGGCCATTTAACACTGTCCCTTCTCTACGATGGGGGAAGAAAGGGAAGGAACTGGGCAGTAACAGCTCTACAATGCTGAGGTCTGAAAAATATGCAGTTTCTTAACACATCTGAGTAACATTAAGTGGGAGGGAACAAATAGAAAGGCAGAAGTTAAGTGGTGCTTCACCTGACAGGAGTATTTTGCTTCACTGACTTCTTCCACTAAGAAAATCAGTCCCAGTCAGGGTGAGGTAGGCACTGGGATCAGCAAAGGGTCCTCTGCAGCACAGTGTGAGCAGGAGTGCACTTTGTAGAGGCACTGGTACTCAGGGGTGCTGCAGGGCCCCGGGACTGCCCTGCCAGACAGCAGCCAGCAAGGAAAGGAGAGAACAGCACGAGTGTCACTTGCACTGAGCCACGTGGTGACAGCACTCGTGGGGCTGAGACAGGCTGAGAACTGCAGAGGCAGGGGAAAATACCAAGTGAATGTCATTGGTCCATGGCAGAGGTGATAAAACCTGTGACTGGATGGAAGAAGGGAGTCATTAGCAGCTGCAAGAGTCTAGAGAGTGGCTGATGGGCAGCCACGGTGGAAAGAAGCATGAAGATCCTGACCCAGCAGCATCCAGGAGGTGTGTGAGGACCCAAGGGCCACACCAGGAGATAGGTAAGTTCTCCACAGATACCACTTCATCGTAGCTTTGCCTGCTGATAGCTGGTGTTGAGTTCCTTTGATGTATCCTGATTAACCTGCTGATTACACTAGCTGCTTTGTACCTGGTGACATGTTTTGTCCTGCCCTTGAAGCTTCAGTAGGGTGATGGGAGACATAACTGCCCTCACCTGGTGACCTCAGCATTGAGCTGTGGGTGGGAAGCATCACACTGGAGAGATTCTGTGAGCTGAGCTCCCTCCAGGCTTGATTTTGACAGCTCATGGTTAATCCTGGTAGTGATTGCTTTGACATAGACACAGGATTGTGTGGCCAACACTTATGGAAAGTGTTTTCTCTGCAGTGGTGAAACTGTCACAACCCAAGACCTGGATGACTTTGAATACTAAAGTACTAACAAGGACAATGACATGAAAACGGTGGTGGCTGTGGATCAAGGAGCTGGGTGTACTAACAGGGCTGTAACCACCTGTAAGTATGCACCAAGAAGCAGCTACAAAAAAAGGCAAGAACAGTCCCTGGAAAGTCAGAAGCATTTAGGCTAAGCTCTATACTGACTATTCACTGGTAAGGAATTAAGCTCAAAGGCTGGTTTGTGGTGAGCAGAGAGACAACACAGAAATACTCCTGAAGCTGCTCTAAGATGTCCTGGAAAGTGGAAAGAGGAATGTCTTTGCCCAAGGCAGCAACTGAAGGTATGAACAGCAGGGGTTTTGAGCTTCTTCACCAACTTGAGCTCTTGTAAACAGGTTGTGATGGACAGCCAAGGAGGAGCCCCTGGCTAGCAGGCAGCCACAGGGCAGTCAGAAGTCAGCAGGTCACAGGGTCAAGCTGCCCTGTTTTCTCAGAATTGCTGGCTGGTGAGAACTACGGAGGAGAAGAGAATTACCATGATTCAGAGTGAAACCCAGTTCTAATAATTCCAAAACTGTCTGCAAACCACAGCCCTCCTCTCTCCAACAGCTCCTGAATGGGGCTGGGGGCCCACTGGGGCTGCCCTGTCCTGGGGCCCAGCAGTGTGACAGCCCCAGCAGGAGTGGCACTCCAGAAGCAAGGCAGAAGACCTTAGGAC